ATAAAATGGTATTAGGTACTATATATTATTTCTGTTTTATTTTTATTTTTCTGTATTATTTTATTTATGTTTCTAAAAGTTATTATTATAGTTTGTTTAGAATAACACTTTAATTTTTATATTTTTTATATTCTATACCTTTGAAATAGAAAATGTGAAATGGAAATCAAAATTACTTATATTTTTTATCACCTTAATTTTATTTTTCAGGAAAAAAATTTACCGGTAATTTACCGGTAAACCGGTATTTTAATTTTCATTTACCGAATTACTGGTAAATGAAAAAGACGGTAAATTTAAAACCCCTAATATGGGAAGTCCTAAACATTTTTACTAATGATTTTATCTAAATATGTTGCGACCGGTCCCTTAATACCCGGACGCCACATTAATAGTCTTGATCGAACTTATAAAAGGTCTGGGAAAAAAGTTTATTTTGTGTCTATAAAGTGGATAAAACAAAATATAAAATAAATCCAAATAATTCAAGAAATTTCAATAGTGAAAATTAAATTTAATTATTTGAAATTCGAACATATAATTTGTATTAAAAAATTTAGCATTATATAATAAAAAAGAAATCGAATTTTAGTGTCTGTTTTCAAAAGTCGAGTACGACATCGAAATAGATGCACTCAAATTCATCATGCAATTTCAATCTAGGTTGCAAATATTTAAAACTTTGAATTCCTTCAAATGTATTCTAATAATTTGCCGAAGAACTGATTCTAATGTTATTTTCTGCACTGATGTATGTCTCTACAATTCTAACAACCAATCGATAAAATGTAAACTTTAGAATTCGTAGACGACCATTCAATAAAATACATCCGTTCGTACTACATTCGTTTCCTAGACGAAGTTTCTTCCGAAACATCAAGTTAGTATAAAAATACAAATCTACACTTATTCCTTCGTCCCTGCAATGTGTTATAGGAAGATGCAATTTGTTGATAAAACAATCTTCCTTAACAACTATGTCGCATATAAATCGAATATTTGCAGTCATTATTTTTACTCTGTTAATAAAGTATGCACATCGATTCACATAAGACAACCAGGAAGAAAGCAATTCGTGCTTTCTTGGGCATGTAATGGAACAAATACCGTCCGGAATAAACCATGTCTCATCGAAATCCTTATTTTGCAAGTAGCATCTTATTGCATCTCTCTCTACGTCCGTTAAGATCGGTTCAACGAACACTTGAGATTCAAGAAACCATTCTGGCATTGTCAGAAATCGTATGTATTGAAGGAATAGTTTCATCACCTGCCTTAGAGAATTTTCATTATTAACTCTTTTCTTGGCCCATTTTAAAACTATTGTGAAGATATTTGCTTCCTCAATAAATCGATTTATTGGCCTGAGAACGAGTCTACCAATAGTTGTTGCTTCACAGTTCAGCCATTCCTCCGATGAGAAAATTTCCTGCCATTTCGAACTTAATATATTCCAACACAAATATTCTAATCTTTCATCGTCCTGTTGACATGCAAACTCATATACATAACACACGTTCTTAACTCTTGACGGATCGGTCATGAAATTTCGACATACTTTATTTAAATCACGAAGGCCTAATCGTTTGCTTACGCAAAATAAATCCATTGCATTTTTCATCGATATTATGGTTTCTCGTCCTTCTTCCAAATATCTGTAAACAGAAAATGCAATTAAAACGGAACTATAAGTAGAACTACTTTATATGACTTAAAATTGATGGTAATTACCATTATAGCAGAAAACATTATTAATGTAAATTAGAATAAGTCAACGTAAATATTTAAAAGATAATTACAGAAACTCACTCTTTGATTTGTTGCAAAATATCCGACGAGTATGGTAAGTAAAGGAACATTGATGTTTTGTTTGCATAAGGAAGTAGCACCAATTTTATTCTGTTGCTATGTTCCCTTAAAACGGATTTTGTAAAATTGATCTGTCGTTGGTCTTTGCAATGTATAGTAATTTGATCCATGAATATTAAATAAATTTTAAATTTTTAATATAAGTAATATAAAGAACATTATTATTGAATTTAAAATATTGTTTCGTTATTAATACATTGTTACGTACAGTACGTCGAGTTTAAAGTATCGGCTGATCCTAATTAAAGTATCCTGTCTAGCGATGCCTAGAAATTTATTTACAGTCCAAATGCAACAAAATGTTGTATGGAGACATTTCAGTACCTCGGAAGACATTTCCGTAAAAGTCTTTTCATTAAAATTCCGCTGATTGCTTTTGGCACTGCAATCAACAAACATTTTATTTCTTTGAAACACACGTGGTGTAGAGAGTCCTTAGCCACGCAGAGGATACATACTGTTCAATGTGTTCACCGTTCTGAAAGTCTAATACCGGTTGATCTCTTAGACCCGCTGTGCCCAACCGTTAAGCTTAGTTCACACTGACCGCGATTCGCTGGCGAAAGCGAAAAATAGAGCGAATAACACATCATACATGACGTCGTTTTCGGCAAATTTTACCATTTTCGAATCGTTTCGAAGTTCGAAACTGTCGAGCTTTTTCGCTAGCGAAAAAATTTTGCCATCAATCATATTCCCATTAGTTGTCACGTGGTTCTTGTTGTTTTCAAGATGGCTACAGAAACTTTCTCACACAATACAGTAAATGTTGTAATTACGGATTTTTAACATCTTTCTCATCTAGTATCGTTTTTATTTTTTTTATTTTTACGTATCTTTCTTTTTCAATAAGTGAACAAACGTGGTTAGCAACAGAATATCGGAAGCAGTCATTTTTGTTTTTCGAGATGACGTTTTCGCTTGCTTGCAAATGATTGGCTGCTTAAAATTCGCAATCGCTTTTCGCTTTTCGCATTCGCTTTCGCTATTCGCTCAGTGTGAACTAAGCTTTAGTCTACCTCGAGCATATTAAGAATTTGAAAATTTTACACGAGCCACACATAAGATGACGACCTTTTTTTCTTTTAAAAAATCAGCAACAAAAAAAAACACAATGGAATTTATATGCTTCTTGTGTTAATTACATTATCATGAAACATCTTATATTTTTGTAGAAAGGTTAATGTAGGGGCTGTCTATTGTATGTGTTACCGCTTAAGCTCGAAATCCGTTAATGTGCACATTACCTAGCTAATCTGCACATTAACTAGGGTGATCCGTTAAAGCTGCGAAAATGATTCCATTTCTCAAATTACCTAGGTAATGTGCAGAGTATCTAGGTAATCTGCACATTACCTACTAGGCACTCGGAAAAGTGAAAATAAGATTTTTGCTGGAACAACAGCAACGTTTCTGTACGCTTAAATTAACATAATGTTATTTATTTAATTTTCAATAACTAAAAAATCAAGTTAATACAATCAAACAATCAACAAATTAGTTGATTGAATCAATCATCAATCAATTAAAACAACTTTAATACAAAAATCAAACGGTTTAAAATATTATTACTATTAGGGAAATGAATTTGCAAAACATATGATAAAATTGTAGGCCTATATAACAAAACTGAAGCTGCCATTCCAGAATTAGGGTCCTATAAACAAATAGTAATAGAAAAAGAAGACAATAAAGGTATATCGTATCGAGGAAAACAAAAGTAACTACAATTTTCTAACCGAGTTTAGATTGCCACCGTTTTATCAATCTTAGCTCATTTCGATATTAAATCTAATAAACGAACCGCTACTGCTTTATGCATATACTTATTTTTTTCTTTATTCAAATAAATACATGCCAAAGAGCCACAGCACGAGTCAAGTTCAAAACACCACATACGCCAGTTAAATTCAAAAACTTATATATATTGAAAGTAAACGTATGTACAGTTACAAAAATTTTTACAAATAACAATTACAAAACGTCAAATGTTAACAAAGTTCAACACATGTATCCACTACACCAGGTCTGTCAGAAAGATACCTTGCGACGAAAACTTCTAATGTTATTTACCGCACAGCGAGACGAAATAATGTTCTAGGTCAACTTAGGCTAAGTTAGAACGACCGTGAGTTCCTTTGATATGTCCGAGACGAACTAAAGTCAAACGCGAGTCCACTTCATGTGTACAAGGCGAACTAAACTTCCCGCCTAAGCTCAATCCTTTTATACGGATTGAAGCCAATCGGATTCCACCAATCAGCGCTTAGTAGCGCTACAAGACGTCCGCTGATGGTCCCATGTCTTTCCACCAATCCGCGGTCGAGTTTCCAAAAGTTGTCAGATTGCCATTTCTATGGCGACAACCGTCGTTCGTCGAAAAATGGAAAAGCGCGGGAAATCGTGTGACGGACGATTTTATCCCGACAGCACGTAATCATCGGATCTAAAAAACAGGACTAGAGCATTACCACCCTCTCTCGTGTCTGACTGAAGCGATAAAAGGAAGCAATGCTTGCGCTCAAGTCTGACTCGAGCAACGAAAAAAACTGATTAAGTACTTAGCTTACTACGCTAGTATTTTTATTGAGTAAAATTTGCTTATCTTCTATAGACTTTTGTCTATGACCTCTGCAAATTTTGTATTTGTAAACCTATTGGAAGATTTTGTATAGAACAGTTAATTTGGTCTCTCTTTTTTGAGATATTATTTGACCAAAAATATTTTGTTTCAATTGGCTTAGTCCAGGAACTAGTGCACATCCTGCAAGCGCCGAGATCTTGCTCGAAGCATATTTGTAAACATCCCGCGAGTGTAGCTCTGACCCCTATTATCAATGTCAAATATTGGTAAACAATGTAGACTGCAGGATTCTGGTTGCAGCTTGTTTTTGATATAATAAAACGACAGATAAAGTATATATAATGCCATATTTATTAAATAAAAGCATTTATTTTAAATTATTACATATTGTTTCAATATTTTTACTATAAAATCGCGTTTGGTGTAGGATGGAATTTTTTGTGGCAAAAAAAAAATGATATTTTCAGAGCGTAATGTAGAAAATTAAATAAGCGTTAAAGGGCTCTTAGCTAGTAGGTCACTAGTGAAGCGGTGGCAACCGAAACTTGGTTAGAAGCTTGTAGTAGTTATTTTTGTTCGCTTTATAGAACGCTTTACATACAAGTAGTTATGTGAAAAAATTTTTTAAATAGATATACGAGGTGTGGCTATTAAATAATGAGACTGACGCTGTAAAACATTTTACTTTGATTTCATACATATTTACTTATTATCACCTTCAATATATACCCCTCCTCTATCCCTACAACGCTCCATGCGAATCTTCCATTGTACGAAACAGTACTGAAAATCTTCTGTCAGCTGCTTCAGGATTCGTGCGGCTTTCTCTTTCACAGCTTCAAGGGACTCAAATCTTGTTCCTTATAATGCAGATTTCACCTTAGGAAACAGATAGAAATCGCACGGCACAAGATCTGGCAAATAAGGCGGATGGTCTAACACTGGGATGCTGTACTTGGCTAGAAATCTCTTGACAGACAATGCAGGTCGAGCCTGCACATTGTCTTGGCGGAGAACCCATTACTTGTCTTTTCACAATTCGGGCCGTATGCATTCTTTGTCAGTTCCTACAGTTTCAGCAATTGCGCGAATACTCAACCGACGGTCAGTATTTGTTGACGGTCAGTATGGCGGCATTTCTAAACCCCAGGAAGAAATTTCCTCAAAAGATATTTTCTGTAAAAGCATTAAGAAATTTAACTGACGAAACGTAGGATGAAAAAACTGCATCACTTTTATACGGGTAACACGACAGTCAACGTGACTCTAGGATAAGTATTATGGTTTCTCAAACGGGATCCCGGCTGTTTTTTTAACCCGGGTAATTGTTTTCATCACGGGAAATCCCGCAAATTTTTTCAAATTTCACTTTTTTGTGTGTGTTAAGATTAAGGAAATTTCGCAAATAGAAAATATAAACCACTCTCTCTTCAACCTTAAATAACCAGTAAAATATTTTAAACAAATGCTACAAACGTTTTCGACCGTTATTTCAGGTCTTCTTCAGGCAGATAGTTCCGAGATTCGAATATCCGTTGTGCTTGAAAATTTTTTTTTTTAAATTGTTCTTAGAACGTATAAACCGATGCGTATAGACATTCTCATTGCGCGTGCGTACTAAGCTTGGCTTATACAAATGAAATAATATATTTTTCTTAACACCCACATATAAAACTGTGGAGATCTGGATTAAATAGTGTCTTCTCGTTCATAATATAGCTTCCAGGCGTTAGAAATATTAATAGCATCTTTGGCATTAATGCAGTTATTGTGTAGCCCAGCTTTGTATATTTCGAGAGTTTCCAGCGATCGTATATGTTCTCTTCTGCTTAATAGGTTAATTATTTGGGCGTTATGCAGGTCTGCTGTTATGCCCGGAGTCGAAGCATAAGTACATAAGGCAGTGGTGCTCCTGTTATGTTCAATGTCATACCTATGTTCCCGTATACGCTTATCTAGAGAGCGTATCGTGGAGCCAATATATACAAGGTCCCTTTGAAACCTATGGTCTCTTAATGGAACCGAGTATTCCCCAGGAGCCAATCTTATGTCTATGCAATCTTTGCAGTAGATAGATAAAAAAAAAATATGTAATTTTTTTGTTCGTAATTCCCGCAATTTCTTTATAGATAGGGTCCAGGTGGTGGTTATATTGAACTACAGCCCAAGATTGTGGATTGTTGGAGTTGTTGGTGTTTGCGTTGTTGTTGTTAGTGTTTGCGTTGTAGAAAGTATAATTAACTCAGAAACTTGTTATGACATCTCACTGCGTCCGTGCGGGCGAAGTCGCGGGTAACAGCCGGATAAATATATAATAAACACAAAAATATTTAATTTATAAAATAAACGTATCTCTTGGCAAAGTATTATATACATGTGAGATTTTCCGATTGGGGAGAAAGTGTCACGACAATCGAGCGGTCAGCACTGTCGTGTGGGAGTGAAAAAACTTACTGAGACAGGTTCTCCATCGTAAACCATTTAATAAATATAAAAGTTTCTTTTACAACAAATTTTTCAAAAGGTGTAACACCTATCCAAAGTCGAGAAACAAGTCCGTAACACAAAA